ATTATACACAACCACCTTGAAACATACATACAAAAATAAATAGATACCAATGCACTTAACAAAGTATAGGCAGTATGTACAAGGTAGATGTATAGGTAGGATGCACTAATAATACAATAATACGTTCAACTAGTTGATAACATGGTAATACAATATACTACAAAATAGTAATACAGTACTACTACAGACCAATACTCCGTACTACTGTCGACATTTGTTTTGCCTCTCAATTAACTTACCCACTGCAATGATGGTATAATAACTTTGGGCCAGTTTATCGATGTGTAATTAAAGCTTCCTATCATATTGAAAAATAGAACCTCCAAAAAACAGACATTATTCTTACTGACTGCGGTGGTAGTAAGCTATCTCATTGATCTCTACTTATTCGAATAGAGATTTTAAGAATTATATGCAAACAAATACGTACCAGAATACAAATGTCCGGTCTGTGTTCGTTGCAGTACTTCAGCAAATCTACCAACGGTTCAAACTGAAGACCCTCGGTAGTAGTGAATGGTCCACACGCAACGACAAAGGATAATCGATTCAAACCGAGGCCACTGTTGGGAGGGATGAACTTAGGTAACACTCCTGGATACAACTCATCAGCGACAAACGTGCCGTCAACGTATTGCCCGCGGCAGACAACAACCTCAAACAAAAATGTTGATCAATTTCTATTACCAGAAGTTCCAGTAACAAACCTCGCCAGGGAAAAGTGAAAACGTTTTGATATTGTCGATATTCAGTGGATAAGTCTGACAGGGATCAGTACGCAGATTGTGAATGACCAGCGAAGTTGGATGCAAACGACCTTCTAGATTATTCGCAATCTGACCGGATATATAGACGGTATCCTACAAGCAAAATGAATACCATAGCTGATCGATTACCACAAGAAACTGACTGTTATGACTCACACCGTCTTCTTTGTCCAAGGTATAGTCGCTGGCATAACGCTGCATCACTGACTCAGCAAGCTCATCGATTCTATTTTTTAAATCTAAAAGAACGTAAAAAATCAAGGATGACGTGTCTAAACCGATTAAGAACATTACAATTATACTAATTCATCAGTTAATTCAAAGTAGGAAGTCAGAAAATATGTCTGAATGAAGTACAAAACGAAAAATGGAAGTTACTAACGCAAAAGACATCAATCACTTACGCTCACATGACTGAGAGGTTGGGTGGAGCACTTATGTTGCTCCTCATTTCATAAAGTTAATGATACGGCTTTAGGGAAATAGATCTTCATTTCTGTGACTTATGTTAAAGGCATGTCGCATGTCGGCTACGTTGCAAGCATCGCGTGTGTAGTGTCCTGTTTCGTTTATTAGAATGGTACTCTGTGACGGCAACCTCATGTTTCAAAGTCAAACGCTCAAACATTTGAGCAATCCCGGTATGTGATGGAATAGGAAACGTTAATAAACCATTAATCCGATTCATAGGATAAAATAAAAGATAGACAAGAACGAAACTCTACTTTGAGATGAATATAGAACAGGACATCTAATTTTTAACTTCAAGAAACTTCCAGGTATGGCCCATATGATATACTTCCCTATTTTAAATTGATTTTCCACAGAGCATAAAAACAGACAACCTGTCGATGACTTTCATTAGCAAATCTGTCCACAAGAATGGCACGCGAACATGGACGTTCTATGTAAAAAAGCACTCAATAAACAATATGCTTCATGACATGCTTTGTTTTTAAAGACGATTCCTCTAATCATTCGACAGGCCACAATACGTTCATCAATAATATCCATTTCAAATCAAAGCCAAACATTAGCCAGAGGCGTGCCTATCACGCTTGCACCACTGCCAAAATAAATTCCCAAACAAAGAGTGCG